TCATAGTCACTATGCTGAACATTAGATTCCCCATACCTTATTCATTGTGTGTGTTAGTTGCTTCAGTCGTGTCTGACTCTTTGCAACCCCATGGATGCTTGCCAGTTTCCTCTGTCCATGGAATTCTCCAGGCAAGAATACTGGAGTGGGTTGCCCTTCCCTTTGCCAAGGAGATCTTCCCGATCCAGGGATCGAACCCAGGTCTCCTGGGTTCAGCAGGTAGAATTTTTACCATCTGAGCCACCAAATTACTTTATTCATTTTACAGTTGGAAATTTTTACCCTTTAACCTATTTCTCCCCATTTCTCTCCACCTTCAGTCTATGGCAAGCACCATTCTACTCTGCTTCTCTGAATTTGGATTTTTTAGATTCCACATATAAGAGAGAACATACAATATTTGTCTTTCTGTGTCTGAGTTATTTCACTTAGGGTTATGCTCTCAAACTCTATCCATGTTGTCCCAAATGACAGGCTTGCCTTCATTTTGATGGTTGAACCATATTCCATTATATATATGTACCACATATCCATCCATCAGTGAAAACTTAGGTGGTTTCCGTATCTCGGCTATTGTAAACAATGCTTAAATGAACGTGGGAGTACAGATATCTCTTTGAGATCCTGATTTAATTTCCTTCACTTATATAACCAGAAGTGAGTTTGCTGGATCATATTGTAGTTCTGTTTTTAAAGTTTGAGCAATCTCCATGCTATTTTCCACAGTGACTGTACCAATGTATACTTCCACCAATAGTGCAGAAGCATTTCCTTCTCTCCATGCCCTCGTCAACCTTTGTTGTCCCTTGCCTTTTTGACAATAGCCATTCTAACAAGTATGAGGTGATATTTCATGGTAGTTTTGATTTGCATTTCCCTGATGGTTAGTGATGTTGAGCATTTTTTCATGTGCCTGTTGGCCATTTGTATGTCTTCTTTGGGAAAATAGTCCATTCCTCTACCCATTTTTGGTCCAATTTTTTTTTTTTTTTGCTTTTTTACTATTGAATTGTATGAGTTCCTTCTATATTTTGTATTCACTCCTTATCAGTTGTGTGGTTTATAAATATTTTCTCCCATTCCACAGGTTTTCTTTTCATTGTGCAAAAGATTTCTAGCTTGATATAGCCTTACTTACTGATTTTTGCTTTTTGTTGCCTATAATTTTGATGTCATATTAAAAAAAAACAGTTGCCAAGACCAATGTCAAGAGCTTTTCCTCTATTCTTCCTTCTAGTAGTCTTACAGTTTAACGTCTTTAAGCTCATTAGAAAAGACCTTGATGCTGGGAAAGATGGAAGGCAGGAGGAAAAGTGTGTGGCAGAGGATGAGATGGTTGAATGGCATCACTGACTCAATGGACATGAGTCTGAGCAAGCTCCGGGAGTTGGTGATGGACAGGGAACCCTGGCGTGCTGCAGTCCACGGGGTGGCAAAGAGTCAGACACAACTGAGTGACTGAACAACAAATTTAAGTCTTAAACCATTTCAAAGTAATTTTTATGAGTTAGTGCAAGATGGGATTTGATTTAATTTTTCTGCATGTGGTTAATATAATTTCTCCAACACCATGTATTGAAGAGACTCATTTCCCCCATTGAGTCTTTATGGCTCCTTTGTCCAACATGAGTTGATCATATAGGTGTGGGCTTTCTTCTGGGATCTCAATTTATTCCATTGTTCTATGTCTCTATTTTTATGACAGAACCATGCTATTTGATTACAACCGTTTTGCAATAGTTTAAAATCCAGAATTGTGATATCTCCAGCCTTGTTCTTTCTTGGTATTGTTTTGGGTCATCAGGGTATTTTACAGTTCTGTATGAATTGTAGGTTTTGTTGTATTTCTGTGAAAAATGCCATTGGAATTCTGAGGTTTCATTGAATCTTAATTACTATCATCATCTTCAGTTTTTCTTCCTTCCAGTTTCTCCTTTACAAGGGATTCTTCCAAGGCACCATTCTGACTGAGCCATTCCCTTGCACAATCTTTTCAAAAGCACAAGCTGAGTCTAAAATAAAAATCAAATTCCTTTTTTGGGGGGGACAATTAGGTCCAAAACTCCCTCTCTCTTGCTTCATTTATTTATTGTGCACTCAGTGTGTGGTGCTCACCAGGCCAGGTTCACCTAATCTCTTGCCTCTTACCTCCCTTACACCTTGTCTTACTCCAAATGCACCCTACACTCCAGCCAAACTGAAACATTCACTGCCATGTGGCAGACCTGGACCAGAACCCAGATAGGCTGACTTCTAGGTCAGTGTTCTTTCTCCTACATCATGGTCCCATATTCAGGTTCTAGTTCAGTTCAGTTCAGTTGCTCAGTTGTGTCTGACTCTTTGCAACCTCATATACTGCTCCATGCCAGACATCCCTGTCCATCACCAACTCCTGGAGTTTGCTCAAACTCATGTCCATTGAGTCCATGATGCCATCCAACCATCTCATCCTCTGTCATCACCTTCTCCTCCTGCCTTCAATCTTTCCCAACATCAGGGTCTTTTCCAATGACTCAGTTCTTTGCATCAGGTGGCCAAAGTGGGCTTCAGGTGTAAGTCCATTCAATATTCAGGTTTAAGTCCATTCAATCTGCATAGTTACAGATATTCTAATAAATTAACTGGAGAAAAGCTCAACAAGTACGGATTACACTGTCATTTTTGTATTTCTTGTCTTTTTGGGGGGGCGGTATTTATCTTGTCAGTTAGAAATTTCAGCCAAGCAATACCTCTAGGGAGAGTAGAAGTAGGGGAGCACCCTCTGGGATGTAAGGTCTGAAAGTGAATGCTTCATCCTCAACTTTAGGACCATCTCCATAGTCACAAGTGCACCTAGGAATAGAACTTCAGGCTTCAGTCTTGTTTTCCCCTGACAAATGTCAGAGGCCAACCAATTGCCTGTGGAATTTGATTCCAGGGTACTGGGAACATTTGTATCTAAATAAATCTACTCCCATCTGCTGGTGATTGCCTGAATTTCCATTCATCACCGAATCACACTAAAAAAAAAAAATAAATAACATTCTGGAAGTAGTTTGGGCATCTACTGTTATGTGACCTTGGGGCCATCCCCTTTCCTTCTCTGGGCCTCAGTTTCCCCATATTAAAGTCCAGAGGGTGGGACAAAATGACCTGGAATGACGCTCCCACTTTTATCAAGCAAGGATTTTCTCTATATTCCTGGATGATCAGAGACAACAAGGGCAGGCCGGCTAGCCACAGGGATGGGTTTTATTGATCCACTCCTGTATGTAATAGTCAGTAACATATAGGTCCCATCATCTTTGTTTCCTCACTCATGTGGGAAGGCGACCATTTGCTCCAGTGCTGGGGTGAAGGGGAAGGAAGGCATGAGGGTGATCTGCTCGTTAAAAAAAAAAAAAAGGCAGGAAACTATGAAACGCACTTTCTAAAAGTGTGATTCTAAGGTGGTTAAGAAAAGTGGGGATAAAGAGTTAAACAGTTAACTGTTCTGATGAGCAACAAGAGCGCAGCGGCTCGAAGCATCCCTGGATGCTCAAGGCTGCTCACTTCCTGGTTTCAGAGGTCCGCAGGCTGCCCGGGAAAGGGACAGACTGTGGGCAGTGCGGGGCGAGCAGGAGCCCAACTAACCAGGCAGGCAACTGAAGGTTTTCGGGGCACAAGTAACCCCAACTCACTTCACCAAATACTGAGAGAAAAGAGAAGAAAGCTCCATCTCTGTATGAATGTTCTAGCTAACCATGCTGCTGCTGCTAAGTCGCTGCAGTCGTGTCCGACTCTGTACGACCCCATAAACGGCAGCCCACCAGGCTCCTCTGTCCCTGGGATCCTCCAGGGAAGAATACTGGAGTGGGTTGCCATTTCCTTCTCCGAGCTAACCATGAATGAACCATGATTGAATCCATGTTCATTGCAACCCTTCTCAATGGCATGCCTTAGGAATTGCCCGCCTGGTCCAGGGCTCTGAAGGACGTCTTTCTGAACTTGCTTTTTCAAGGATCTGAGATAGGAAGGACAGAGGGGATTGGGACGGAAGAATTTCCCTATCCTCTGAGAGCCTTTTGTTTCGTAGGGCAGTGTTTGAGGTAGTGGAAAGAATAAGAGCCCTCTAGTCAAAATTCCTGGCTTTTCCACCTGATGGGCCCCAAATGCAGGAGCATCAGAGTCGCCGGCTCCAAGGACTCAATCCCTTGAAACACTGGTCCTCGCCTCCTTCCCCTTCCACGGCCCTGGCTCTGGGACCGTCACACCTCAGTGTGACCCCAGTGACCCCAGTCGGTGAACACTTCCAGTTCCCGGATCTCTGTCCTGGGGACCCAGAAGTGTGCAGCCCTGTCAGAAGGTACATTCAGACAGAGCAAATTCCCTCACTCCCTTCACCGCGAAAAACAAAACTCTTGGGCACACGGTCTTCCAAAAGACACGCACATTTGGAATATTTTTTCTTTTTTTTTTTTTACCGAGAGAAAACACGACCCATCGGGTGCCTGGCTGAGGACGCGCGTTCAGCCCTCCGGCAGCGACGCTCCGCCCCTCCCCCAGGCCGGCCCCGCCCCTGTCTGTGCCTGGCGGGGGCGCGACTGCGGAGGCCTGAAGGGGCGGGGAGCCGGGCGGTGCGCCGGCTGCGGGCGGAGACTGGAGCGCGCGCCTTTTTTGTGCGGCTTTTGGCACCTGCCGGATTGGTTCGACCAGCGCGACCGTCGGAGTGGGCGGAGCCAACGGGCGCCGGGCTGGGTGCCCAGACGCAGCCTGGAGCGGCTGCAGACGGAGCGCACCTTGCAGCCGCCGGGCGCGTCCTAAGGCTCCGGGTCGGGCACTAGCCCGGCTTCTGGACTCCGGTCGGACCCCTACGCCCCCTGCTCCCTAAACTCTCGCTGCAGTCTCCTTAGAGGCGACTCCTCGCAACCCCCCAGCTCCCTCTCGCCCTACACTGTCCTCGCTCGCTCCGTCCCATTCCCCGGCGGCGGCGGCGGCGGACCGCAGCCTCTCGCGCCTTCCAAGCTCCGGAGTGCGCAGCCATGAGCATCCGAGGGATGCTGCGAGCCGCTGTGCTTCTGCTGCTCATCAGAACCTGGCTCGCGGAGGGCAGCGACCTCAGTTCCACCCCGAAATTCCACTTAGAGCTCTCCTCCACCGTGCCCGAAGTCGTCCTGAACCTCTTCGACTGGTAAGCGGGAGCCGCCAGGTGGGGCATGGCGGCGACAGGAGAGGACCGGCGGCAGCCTCGGACCTCTTGGACGGAGCGGGCTGGGGAAGACTTGGACCCGGGCTCGCCGATCCCTGGGGCGCCGGCCCAGCCTCCAGATCCCTGGAGGGTGGTGGGCTGAGAGTAGGGGCGACCGTTCGAGATAGAACCTTGGTGCTTCAGCCCACCTGTTAACTGCAGCCCCAGGAGTTGGGGGGAAGGATGCCCTCCCCCCAAGGTCTCCCATCCATCCCCAGGGACCAAGCCCCTGACAGCTTTTCCCAGTCACGCCCTTTGGCACTTGTAGGATTGAGGGTGGGAGTACAGGGTGATGGGAAATTCACAAAACTGTGGAGACACCTGTTTGAGTCTGGATTTTTTTTCTCTATTCCCTGAGGCGCGTGCATGTATTCATGAATGTGTGTGTTGAGCAGTGAGGGACCTTTTCCGATGCCGCAGACAGAAATTATTGACTCAACCTCATCTGAGCCCAGACAGTGCAATTGGTGGCTGTATAACATATAACCGTGTGGCCTGAGATGGGTGCAATTTTGTAGTGACTCCAATTAAACATTTGAAGACTTGGTGTTTGATTTCAAGTTTGTTTGGGTCTGCAAATACCTGAAGAGATGTTCAACAGTCAGCCTTTACGTGGAGATCACATGTAAATGTGTGTTTGTGATGGCCACAGGTCCTGAGCGCTAGCATATGGCTAGTGCGTGTGGTCCTTAACACACAGAAATGCGTTGCTTTAATTTGGAACTCATTCATGTGCACACTTTGAAATTTTCTCATTAAAGATAATTGAGATTTTTTTAAAAGATGATTGAGAATAATTTTTTAAATGGAAAACCAGAAAAGAACATGTATGAGGAAAAAGGAGGTGGGGGATAGTTGGGCAAGGTTCCAGCAGAAAGCTCTGCAATGTCCTCAACCCAAGATACCAGATTGCGCTAGTGAACACACACACACACACACACACACACACACACACAAGATCTGCAGGGGCTGACTTCTATAGTCACTGCGTGAAAGATACTAAGAGTTATAGTGATGCCAGGGCATCTCATTCACAAGCCCCTTTGGGGGAAAAGAGACCGCAGTGAAAGACTATGTGAATTGAAAGGGCGCATCAGAGACTTCTGGAAAGGCCAGCTCTCTGGGTCCACTTACATGTGCTCACCCAAAACACGTCTAGGCTGGAAACACATGCTTAGCCAAAGAGATGCCTGCTCCAAAAATGCATGTGTTTTTGAGGATGGCTCTGAAACCCAAGGATCAGAAATGGTTTGATTGACGAGGCTCATAAATCTCTGCTACATGAGCAAGGCTCTGTCTGTGCCATATGTCACATGCCAAGTCTTGGAAACAGAGGTACACAAGAACAAGATTCAGATAGACGTGATAGCAAAATGCTGGCCCGAGCCTAGGTAGTGAGTGAGGTGGAGGATGCAGGCTGGTGGGCTCAGCTCATGAAGGTACTGAGGGGGTAAGGTGCATCCAGACCGATGGTAAGGTGGGGCTCCTTAGGGGGCTTGAGGTAATAGGTTTCTGTGAGCACTCACGCCTGCCCACACCCTCTCCTCTCCACTTCCCCTACAGTTCCCCCCCATCCCCCCAATTCTGCCTGGTAACAAGAAGCCAGTCTTTATGCCTCACCCTTTGGATAAAGGCTGTGGAGGGGGAGGGGGAAAGAAGAGTCTGCGTCACTGCTGTGCTTCTGGCTGACTCACTGGAGGAAGGGAAGGGAGCAGGGAGACATGTGTACATGTATGATGCACATGTCTGCATCAACGACTGCACGTGTCTGCATGTGTGCAGATGGAAAGAAGGCCCTGGCGAGTTGATGCCCAGGGTGCTGTTTGCTGTTTGTTTTCTGAGAAGTGATGCAGCATTCACTGATGACCAATACCTACCAATGACTTCTCTGTTCCAGCAAAAACTGTGCAAATGAAGCTACAGTTCACAAGATTTTGGACAGGGTGCTGTCGAACTATGATGGCCGTCTGAGGCCCAATTTTGGAGGTAAGACATGTCCAGGTACTAGAGCTGAGACACAGCAAGCCAGCCCCACCCAGTGAGCTGACCAGGGGCACTCCTCTGGACTGGGCCCTTCTGCCTCTGCAAACCCCACTTCCTGATCCTCCAGAGACCCCAGCAGAGCATTCCCAGGCCCCAAGTCCCAGGCCTGTGTCTCTTCTGCCGGCATTTCCCCCACTTCTCTGCCCCTTCCACACTCCTGTACAGTGGCCTGAGCCTGAAGCACATTGCCTGGGCTGCAGAAGCGCTCGTCACCCCAGGTGTGCTTCACGGGCTAGAGTTTTCTGCTCCATCTGTGGGGAGGACACACGTTCCACTTGTGCACACAGTCTCTGAACCCTGGGCACTTATCCCCATTCAGCTAGTTGAAAACTAAGGGCATGGTCTTCTCTGCCTAGTTTACTTCATACACCCAGGCCCCAGGTTCTGCTGCCTCTGCTCAGCCTCCCCAAGCCTTCAGCTCCCACTGAGTTCAGTTTGTTGCACACACTGCAGTCAGCGTGATCTTTTTGACTCCCACCTGATTGCCTTAGGAACTTCTGATAGCCTTATCTGCTAAGTAAAATCTACACACCTCAGATCTCAAGCACAGAGATGAGAAATGACAAAGAAACTGAAGTAACAAACTCCAGGATACATCAATCAATACATCAATTTCTCCTGTTGTTGTTGCCTAGCCCCTCACCCCACCCCACCCCGCCCCTGGCTTTGGAAAGGGAGATGGGCCATCTCACAGAACAAAATGACAGGCACCTACCTGGGCTGCTTGGAATAGGAATAGCATTCTCTGGCTGAGGGGATGCCCAGGAAACCTAGACCAAGGACAAACAGGAGGAGGGGTGCCTTAAATAGACATTAGTCACATTTTGGCTGAAAGGAAACCAGGAAAGAGCTAAAAAGCAAGGTGGCTAAGTCAGAGAAAGCACTTCCATTCCTGCAGGTGGTAGAACTAGACACCCACTCTAAAGGGTTAATGGATGCTAGTGTTCACATTAGAACATTTGTATGAATAGAGGTCTTCTGAATACACAATGCCTCCGCCCTCAAGGGCACACAGCTGTTAGCAACTGCCTTTGTGGTAGACCACTAGGGGCTCTGTGATCTGCCTAGGAGCCACCTTTAAGACCATGGTTGCCCAGCGCCCGAAGGTTTGGGGGCGGGGCACTTGACTGGTATCCTCTTTGCTGCTTTGCTTCCTTCAAGTGTGAGGGCAGAAGGCGGTGCAGCCCTTGGATCCAAGGTGAGTGTACACTAGGGGCTGGGAAGTTGGAGTGGATAGGACAGAAGGCAAGTGCTAGGGCACAGTCAGCACCCCCACTGGACCAGTTGCACCAAGCAACGAATGTCAGGTGTCAAGGGTGTAGCTGTTGCATTTTTTTTCCTCTATTCATCATTCTCATGTTTTACAGCAAAGGCTGACCAGCAGCCATTCAAGTACATCAAGCACATTCTCCCCACTGCTTCAGGTTGCCATCTCTGCAGGCACACAGGGCCAGGGGGAGGGAACAGAGGGAACAGAGCAAGGACCAACCTCTGGGGGTTGTCAGGTGCTCCTGACCCACAGATCTCCAAGGCACCTCACCGCCATATTTTGAGCTAACCTGGATTTGTTTACACCTGATGTCTAGCCTCCTTGATTACAGTAAGCTTCATGGACATGCAGACCTGGGGAGTCTGATAGAAGCTCAGCCCCCAGTTTGGCCAAAGAGTAGATGAAGGTGGGAGGACAAGGACAAGGCAGAACCTTCTAGCATTTAGACAGAGGGAGGCACTACAGGCTCCACGTCTGGGGCTCTTTTATGGGAGGGAGGGGGCAATCATGGGAGAGCAAGGCCAGGGGGGTTAGGGATGGGGGTAACCGAGCACTCCTACTGTACACAGAGTCAGATTCTGAAGTTAAGTAGAGTTTCAGGGCTTCGCACACATGCCCAGACATGACCCAACTGTGGTTAGCTTCAAATGGGAGATGTTACTCCCTTGAGAAGAGAAGGAAGATGAAGAGGAGGCATAGAGGGGCCAGAGAAAGTTAACAAGGCTGCTTCTTTCTGAGCAAGAGAAGTGGGGCTCCATAGTGCTGCAGAAGCAGGTCCCTAACAGCTTTGCTTAGCCTGTCACTTGGCATGACATAGGTGTGGAGCAAAGGATCAATGGACCACCTTCATCACTCCTTCAGTTACCTCCTCTTCCTCTGGTACTCTGATGGATGCTAGGGAGGAAGTAGACTTGGGGTTGCAAAGTTCACAAGAGGGATGGGAGTGGTTATCCCCCCCTCCCACTTTTTCTGCCTTCTTGAGTCCATCAGGAGGGACAGCAATGGGATATGGGGCTGAGACCATCACTCCAAAGACAGCATTTAGACACCTTATCTGGAACTTCTTGTTCCCCTCTGTTATGCTTGTAGGGGTGTGGTATCTTAGTTAGGCTCTCATTATGACCACTGCTAGCACATAAGGTGTTCCCTCTATGTGGATAAATTAGAAAAAGATCTCAGGTCCTCTTCAGGTCGCACTCCTGGGCCAGGACTCATGGCTTGCTGAGGGGAATGTGGACTGCACGTTCCCTCTTGCTCCTTTAACTGGGAGCCTTTGGACAAAGCAGAGCCCTGGCACTTTAGGGTTCAGATCCCCAGGATTCTGCTGTAAAGGATGGGATTGCCTGAGTGATACAGAGTGGTCCAGGATTACAGGTTTGACACTAGAGTGAGATGGCCAAGGGGATGGCTGCCCCGCCCTTCTGGGGCTTGTTGCCTGCCTAACACAGCTTTCATCCTTCTCTAAAGTCATGCAGAGAGCCTGAAAGGCTATAATAAAGAAAAACTGCCTTTCCAGAAACCCCTATCACTACAAGCACTTTGCCAGGGATCATTCACAATAGCTCTGAATGCTGGAATTGGTTATGCCCTCACACGGAGTCCCATTTACTTCTCAGGTGCCATTCATACATGGATTCCCAGTGCACTTTATAGTTTAGTTTCTAGGCAGTCAGCCTGCAGTGAAGCCAGCAGGCTGAATTGGAAGCCTCACGCCTGTTTCCATAACAGCAGTGCGATATAATATGCATAGAATAATGGTTCAGCTGTAGGGCCAGGTGGAGGGAGTCCTGAGTCAATGAGGAAACAATAAAAATGTTTTTTCTACAGTACTTTATGACATATTTGCACATCCATTATCACATTGGGATGGGCAGTGCTAACACCTAGTCCTGAAAAAGAAAGCCAGGAGGCAGAAACATAGACACACACATGCACAGATTCAATCACGGTTACATATTAATACACACAAACACCCTCACATATGTACTCATTCACATGAACATACTCAAATTCACTCACACATAGACACATATTCACACATGGTTTGACATTCACATATATGAAGACACTCACATTCACACATGCTCACACACAAACATGTCCACATTTTTACAAACTCACAAACACCTTCATACATGAACGTGCTCACACATTCACTCAAAGGTGTATAGTGACACACTAACACAGATGAATATGCTCATGGGTTCACTTGCACACCAACATAGTTGCACGTTCACTCACACACAAACAGTCACAAACATTCACACATTCAACCATACTCACTTGGACATGTTCAAACGTTTTCTCAAGCACATTAACATGCATACATAAACTCACACACTCATAAGTGTGATGAGTGTGAGTGTAGAAGCATAATCACTTATCACACTTCACTTGCATATGAACAAAGTCACATGCACAAATGTATTCACATATGTACACAATGAACATGCTCACTCACACTCACACATACAGTCACATACCCATAAGTTCACTTACATTCCCAAACACAACTTTTCACACACAAACATAATCATACATTCACTCACACGTGGACATGCTCACAAATATATTAACAAGTGAACAGTCTCACACAAACAACCTACATAGTCACTCCCACATGATATATGCAAATACACACAGGTGCTGACACATTCATTCACCCAGAAATGTGCTCACACATTCACTCACACACAAACATGCTCACAAACAACATTCATGAATTCACTCACACATGAATATATTCATGCATTAACATGTTCACATATACAAACACACCCACAAATTAACTCACACACAAACAAGCTCACAAACACACCCATGTTCACACGTTGCCTTGTGCATTAACAAGCTCACATACATTCACAGTCACACATGCTCTCATACATGAATACACAAACATTCACTTGCACAGGAACATACTTATAATTCACTCCCACACAGCATTGCTACATACATGCACATGTTCACATATTTATTCACACACAACACATTCAAGTACACAAATACACTCATGCATTTTTCTCACACAGGCATGCTCACATACACTCATGTGCACACTGGCACATTCATCTGCACATGAATACATGCACAGATTTACTCACATCTGTGAACATGATCCCATCCACCCATGCACACAGCTCACACATTCATTCTTCATTCACACGAAGACACACATTCACTCACACATAGACACATTCACATGAACTCACACAAATATGCTCATGCACAGCATATATCTTGTTTTGGGTCTCATTGTTCTTGAGTTTTTATCCAGAAAACATTTAGAAAAAGAGTGCTTCATCCCCTTATTTTTTCTTTATTTTGGCCTGACCCTTTCTTTTCAGCACATTGTGAGCCAGGCCCTTCTCTAAGTGGTTGGCTTGTATTAACTATGAGCTAAGTACTATCATTATCCCCATTCTGAGGAAACTGAGGCTCAGAGAGGTTAGGTAACTTTTTCAAGGTCACGCAGCTAGTAAGTGCCAAAATGAGGTTCAAACTCAGGCAGTTTTTTACCCTTTTTCCTACCTTGAATGTAATAGTGTCTTCCTGTATTGTAGGTGCCCCTGTGCCAGTGGGAGTGTCTATCTACGTCTCCAGTATTGAGCAGATCTCAGAAGTGACTATGGTAAGTGTGTCCGCTCCAGCCTTGGGGCTGGGGACCAGGTACATGAGACCAGGAGCAGGGTCATAAACCAACTCCTGTTGCTATGACCTGCAGCAGAGCCCACGTGGAGGAACATAATAGGTTTCAGAAACTGCAACCACCTGAAATAAAAAATAAATCCAGGTGTATTATAGATCTAAAAGTGAAAGACCTATGAAGCTTTTAAAATATAAGATATTGTTTTAGTGTCTTTGGGATAGGTAAGGAGGTTTTTTAAAAAGACACAGAAAACACAGATTATAAAAATAAATACTGCTAACTTCAACTATAATAATACTCTCTTTAGCCAAAACTTTTGGCACTTCAGTTTTGTAAAAGAAAGAAACAAAACCAGTATGAAAAGTTTGAAAGGAAAACTCAGATTGGACTATGATATTTGCAACACAAATGACTGGTATTGAAAATACACATAATTCCTGTGAATTAATAAGAATATTTTAAAACAATAGAAAAATGATCAGAAAATGCAAACAGGAGCTTCACTTTTGTGAAGAAATCCAAGTAGCAGATAAACTTATGAAATGATATTTGACTTTATTATTAATCAGTGAAATGCAAAATAAGACCACAGGTTACATACATCCTACACCAGCAAAAAGTCAAAAGTCAGACAAAACCAATATTGGCAAGGCAGGAGCACTGGGAACACTCATCTGCACTTAGTGGGGATATAAACTGGAACTTTGGCTTCATAGTTCTTATTTCATTGTGGTTTTGGTATGTATGGTGTCATCACATAGTAATATACATAGTATATTCATATAAGGCAATATTATCCAGCAATACAAGTGAATGAAATTTAATTATCAATATCAAGCTGAACAAACACACAACCACAATGTTGAGTGAAAGAAGCAAGATCTGAACACAGAGAGTGTGATGTCTTTCAGAAAAGAGATATAAATAAGTCCAAGTAAACAATACATTTCTTAGAAATGTATAGGCAATAAAACTTAGGAAAACATGGAGAAAAAATGTAAAAAGCAAAATTATTACCATTAAAAGTTAAGATAATGCATTACTGCTGGGAGATGTGGGAAATATGTTCTGCAGGGGATACACTGAAGCTTGAAAGTTATTGGGAACATTGTATTTCTTAACCTGAATTTTAATTATATGGAGCTCATTTTATTATCCCTTACATTGAACATTCTTACATGTTTCATTACTTGTCTATATTTAGGATAAATTTCATATACCTGCAGGCACACACACACACACACACACACACACACACACACACACACACAAACTCGGAGGACGGAAAGCTGAACACCCCCACTTACAACTGGGATTTATCTTTCTCTCCTCAGGACTATACCATTACGATGTTTTTTCATCAGACCTGGAAAGATCCACGTTTAGCGTATCATGAGACCAACCTCAACTTGACCCTGGACTATCGGCTGCTTGAGAAGTTGTGGGTCCCTGACTGCTACTTTCTAAATAGCAAGGAGGCTTTTGTTCATGATGCAACTGTGGAAAACCGTGTGTTTCAGCTTCACCCAGATGGAACAGTGCGATATGGCATCCGGTGAGTTCCCCAGGGACCTGGGGATCACCCTGGCAGGACTAATCTCTGCCTTTGGTCATATATTATGCAGCATCCAGGGGGCCCAGGGGTGCACAGTTGTGCATCTACTGCCTATGGCTTTGTACAAACAGAATGTATGCACCCTGGAACGCCTCGTTGGTCTATTTGTAACATAATAGATGGTCACCAAAGCCCTCCTCACAGACTCATCTCTTACAAACCATCTTGTAAGACAAGTGTAAGAGATAAATTTATCTCAGAAAATTTCTCCAACAGGTAGCTACTATGGTATAGCTCTTTCACACACACACACAGACATACAAACCACCTACTGTACAAAATGGAAGTCACTTTAAGAGTTGAAAGAGACAAGTGTGGCACCTGGGAAGAGCAGGACAAAGAGGGGTCCAGAGGCTCCCAGCTGGGGCTGCAGAAAGCTTTTGTAAATCCTCTTCCCCACTGGTCCCTTTTCCCATGGCCCCATGTCTTCCAAGATCCCTCCTCAGATTCTTCTCTAGGACTTCCCACATGGCTATTGAAATTTCATTCCATAGCTAACCTCAGAGATATTAATCCCTCCTGCCCATTTACAGTCACTGGCATTTGCTAAGCCCTAGTACACTTGGGCTTCCCTGGTGGCTCAGAGGTTAAAGTGCCTGTCTGCAATGCGGGAAACCTGGGTTCGATCCCTGGGTCGGGAAGATTCCCTGGAGAAGGAAATGGCAACCCACTCCAGTATTCTTGCCTGGAGAATCCCATGGACAGAGGAGCCTGGTGGGCTACAGTCCATGGGGTCGCAAAGAGTCGGACACGACTTACACTTTAGTACACTCATAAGCAGATGCACAGAGATGGATGTGCTGCAGGGGCAGTTCTCATGGCCAAAGGTGTGTCTGGGTCGCTGCTTACATCAGTGTGTGCACACCACATACATCAGATCTAGCACTTCAGCTGCTTCAGTATCGTGGTTTCCTCTTAACAGCCTTGCTGCTTCTTCAGCAAGAAAGTTCCCTTTCTGACTCTGCAATCAGTTTCCTCCAGGGTCCTTCCCATTCTGACACCCCAAGGTTTCCTGACATGTCATACATCTGTTCTCATCTGTATTAGTCCTATACCAGTTTTTGGTTTCTTTGTCACATACAGATTTCCTCTCTCCTTCTTACACAACTCACCTTTACTGCAACTCATCTTTCCTCTGGAGGGAAGGAAGGGAGGGGAAGAGAAAGAAGGAAACAAGACAGGAAGAGGAGAACCCAGCTTTAATGTAGGCAGTGTGGGCTAGTCCTTGGGGTGCCTCTCCCCACTCCACCCCTGCACTTTTCTCGGGAACAGTTACTCACCTGGGCTGCACTCACCTTCCCCTTCCTTTTGCTTTTGCTTGCAGGCTCACCACCACAGCAGCTTGTTCCATGAACCTGGAAAAATTCCCTCTGGACAAGCAGACCTGCAAGCTGGAGGTGGAGAGCTGTACGTTTGTCTCCCATGGCCCCTTCTTCCCTTCCTGGTGTGGGGACATGAGGAAACCAAAGGTGCACTTGACAGTGAGAGGGACTGCATATGTCCCCTACTCCCTCCCTGCCCTTTTCTCTCCTAGGTAGATAGATAGACAGACAGATGAACAGACAGACAGAGGTGTGTGTGTGTGTGTGTGTGTGTGTGTGTGTGTATAATATATATAATATATTTATACATTTTATTATTATATTTATTTATATTTATATATTATATTTGTATTATTATATATTATATTATATATTATAAACATATATTTATAATATATTATATTATATTTATTATTATATTTATTATTTATTATATATATTTATATATATGGCATCTGGGAGAAGGCAGCCTTCAGGATAGAAATAGTCCCATACGGGAATGTGCCATGCCCTGGGGATTTTGTGCACAAGCTCATGGCACATCTGTCTACTCTGCTTTCCTTCCTGTATAAGAAACTGAAAGTTCTCTTTTCATGTGCCCCGCTGCCCCAGGGTCAGACCCACAAAACTGCGAACTGCGGGTTCCAACTGTCCTTTGGTTTTCACAAACTCCTCTGGTATGAAGTCACCTGTGCCTGCTTCCTTTGACTCTGCTCACTTTGCCCCTGTAGATGGTTACACAGTTGACGACATCCTGCTCTACTGGGAAGGCAGTGGGAATGCCGTGCAGGGGACAGAGAAGCTTCACATCCCTCAGTTCAGCTTCCTGGGAAAGACGATCAGTACCAAAGAGGTGTTTTTCTACACAGGTGGGTCTGACCCCCTCCTTCTCTCCTGTCTCTTGTCCTTTTGTATGCTAGGGAACTCCTGGTGACCTCTGCCTTTGACCTCTAGAATCTCTTCTGCCTTCTTTCTATTCCCTTCTTGTTCTGGACACCTTGCAAAACCCCCTTCAGGAAGTCCCAGAGGCTTACCTTCTGCTAGTGAGGAAATGAGTGCAGCAGTACTTGGCTGGGTTTAACACTCCACGGGCCCCCTTTCGGGGCCAGCTGCTCCATCTGTGGCACCTTTGAAATATCTCCTCTCTCTCCCATTTCAGCTTCAGTTGACATGGAGCAACTGAGGAAGGAAGGAAGAGAGAGCAGATTTGCTGTGCCACATGTGCCTGCTAATATGTGCCGTTGTCACTGGCCTTAAGGCAGCAAAAGGGGTCAGGTTTGCAGACTGTCCAGGCTGGGATAGTAGAGGCTGAAGTGGCCATTGGTTTCCCCTCAACCATCCTGTACTTCACCCTGAAAATCCCCTCAGCCCTGCCACCCTAATACCAGTCTGTCTCCTGGCCAGGTTCCTATGTGCGCCTGATCCTGAGGTTCCTGGTCAAGAGGGAAGTCACCAGTTACCTTGTGCAGATCTATTGGCCCAGCGTCCTCACCACTGTTGTTTCTTGGATATCATTTTGGATGAACTATGAATCTTCTGCAGCCAGGGTGACAGTCGGTAAGTCCTGTCCCCATCTCAGGGAAGAACTTGGCTCATCTTGCTCAGAATAAAGTTGAGAGTAAGGAGCAGTGTTTGACTTCACAGGCAAGGGAACAAAATGGGGCCTGACTAACAGGCATTTGTACATATGCCCAGCCAACCCCCAGCAGAGAGACCAACAATGGAGACAGATGCAAAACTCATCAGGGTTGGGATCTTGATATGTTGGGTCCAAACTATCAGAATTTCTATTTGCTGGATACACAAATGAATGGATAAGTCACAAATTTACATTAAAAATGGAACACAATAAACACTGATTAAGAAGCATATCAAAATGCCTGTGAAGCAGCAGAGGGCTTCTAGATGAACTGCCCTTGACAAATGTCTAATGAAAGGCTGAGATACACACAGTCAGAGTCCAGAGGAAGAAATGACCTGGGTCTTCTTGGCTATAACTGCAGTAGGAAAGTACTGCTCAATCTGGGTTTTGAAGACTTCCAGGAGGCAGAGACATAAGTCCCAGCATTCCCTGAAAGAGGAACTAGCTTGATTACAGGTAAAGGGTAAATTGCAGGGTATTTAGGGCTTCCCTGGTAGCTCAGTTGGTAAAGAATCTACCTGCAATGCAGGAGACCCCAGTTTGATTCCTGGGTCGGGAAGATCCACTGGAGAAGGGATAGACTACCCACTCCAGTAGTCTTGGGCTTCCCTTGTGGCTCAGCTGGTGAAGAATCTGCCCACAATGCAGAAGACCTGGATTTGATCCCTGGGTTGGAAAGATCCCCTGGAGAAGGGAAAGGCTACCCACTCCAGTATTCTGGTCTGGAAAATTCCACGGACTGTATAGTCCATGGGGTCGCAAAGAGTCGGACATGACTGAGCAACTTTCACACTTTCACCTGGGCACAAACTGGGGAAGTGGGGAGAGTATCAGGAAGAAAGCCTGGGCTGTCTTTGGAATAACTTCAAATTCCACTTTAAGCAGTTGAAACTTCATGTCTAAACAACGGGGAGCATCGAAGACTTCTGAGCAGTACCAAAGAGGGGCCTAAGCTCCCAAATATATTTGATCCCACTCTTCAGAATGCCTGTCTATCCCAGACCCTGGTCTCCTTTCTCCTTCACCATCTTTGGGGCAGACTTTTTAGCCTTCTTCTTTAGAAGCACACAGTACACTACACCTTTATATTTGTGTAATATTTTAGTGCTCACCAAACCTCCTGAGGGATGGATTACAGGAAAGCCTATATACTAGGAGGCAAAAAAGGGAAGAAGCATCATAGGGTAAAATGGGGCTAGATATGTAACTCGCTGTGAACCATGGCTGGAGATTCTTGACTTGATCCTAAGAGCAAAAGTCACTGAACTGTTGAAGTACAGGCTGGGCCTAAAGATGGGGGTGAAGAAGCTAAGAGGGCAATTGAGCCAAGGTCCTAAGCCAGGAAAGCCTAAAGGCCTTTTGCTAAGGGCCCTCTTGACCTCAGAGATGGCCTTTGCTCCCTTCCAGTGGGATGTGGACCTGATGGCTTGTGCAAGAACTTCAGCCTCCTGAGGGAACTAACTGTGCTGTGTTGTTTATAGGTTTGACTTCGATGCTCATCCTGAACTCCATCAACTCACATCTGCGGGATAAATTCCCCCAATTTTCCTGCATCAAGGCCATTGACATCTATATGGTCGTATGCTTCTTCTTTGTGTTCTTGTCCTTGGTGGAGTATGTCTACATCAACTACCTTTTCTACAACCGAAGAGGATCCCGGCATTCTCAGAGGCAACTCAGAAGAGCTCTAAGGGTCATGGAGCGCTACCGCTACCAAGAGGCAGAGCAGGTTTGGCTTTTTGAATGACAATCCACTTTCCTTGAGCACCTCTTAAACCTAAGATTAGCACTTGAACCTTTTGAATTTCTTAGCTCCTTTCATCTTCACACAACACACACACACATGCGCAGACACACACACACACACACACACACACACACACACACCAGATAAGACAGAAGTAGAACAATATATCATCACTCCTTTATAGGTTGAGTCATTTTCCAAGGTCACAAGGTAACAAGTGGCAGAGATAGACTTCCCCAGACCTTTGGGCTTCAGATCTGGTCTACTCAGCATGCTTCAAAGAGTAGGCCATGGAGCCAGAAGGAAAGGGAACACAGGGAAGCTGCAAGGAAGAGACACCAGAGAGGCTGACCTACCTCTCCTTCCTTTGCTCTTCTGACTCCAAAAGCCATGCTGAGTCTTTTGCTGCTGGCAGTGTGTTAGTGTCCCTGCTTCACAGGGAACCCACCCCCACCTGCCTGAGGAGGTCTTGCCTCTACCCACTATGCAGCACTCCAGAGTGGGTGGCAACAGCCCTGGATGCTAACAGCCTTGTATATTCTAACAGGCTCTTGGTCCTGTTCCTCAGCACCATGCCCACAAGAGACAACGGGGAGAAGAGGCAGTTTACCCGGTGGACGAGCCCATCAATCATGCTGACGAGGAAAGTCCTCCCTCTCCTCCCTCCCCAACAGTGGTTGTTCATACAGCATTCAATGACCAGGTTCACCTAGAAGATGAAACTGACTCTCCTCCCTCCAGCCCACGGTGGGCCGGCCTAGCAACCCCAGAAAGTCTTGGCTCTTTGGCCTCCCTCACAAAGGAGGCACCATTGGCCTCCTCAGAAAGCCTCAGTTCGCTGTCCTCTCTCTCTGATGGGGCCTCTCTGGCCACCACAGGAAGCCTGAGTGATCTCCCGTCCACCTCAGAGCAGGTGGTGCACCACGACGGCATTCGAGTTAATGGTATTGATGTTGACAATAGTGTTGTTCCCACTGAAATCCGCAAGCATCCTGAGGCCCATGACTGTGCTGAGACCCATGACCCAGAAGAAGACCCTGAAGAGAGCTCTGACTCCAATGAGAGTGAAGATGATGGCCCCAGCAGGAGGCGTCTGCTTGTCCATGGCCAGAGGCGTGTACAAAAAGCAACCTATGAGCTGCAGGAGATCTGTAACACCCTTCATGATATACATAGCTTACCTGATGATGTCACAGTTGAGAGCGGCTACCTTGACCTTGAGAAGCAACTCAAGCGTAAAGTTGACAGTACACGAAGCCTCTATAGTGATGATTCTATGGACTTTGATGGAGACAAGGAGAGCAACTCAGAGTCTGATGACAGTTTCCCCCCAAGCCCTGGCTGCTCCTTCAGTAAAGGGTTCTCTTCCGATCTCTTTCGCCCTGACTACATCCCTAAGGTTGACCGATGCTCCCGGCTCCTCTTCCCTCTTGCCTTCGTGGTGTTCAACGTTGTGTACTGGGTGTATCATATCTATTAGTTCCCTAGTGTCCCCAAGTGGCAGGGACACTGTGCTGTGCTCCTTTCGTAGTTCCTTTTTGTTCCATTTGCCTTCTTTTCTGTCTTCATTTTACTTTATAGTTCTTGGGCACTTGAGTCCATTCCACCTTTTTCTTTATAAACATGATGTGGGGAGTAGTTGAAAAGGATGTATTCTGGCCAGAAGGGAAGGGATTGAGAAGGAGTTCGAGGTAAAGAACACACTGAATTTCCTTTCCTTCTGAAGACTATCATGTTGTCAATGACTTCTAACACCTAATTAAGACAGAAAAGCCACATGGAAATGTTTACAGGACAGAGAGGAGCCAAATTGGAGGACAAGAAGTATCCGAGCCCTGTGTACAAAAACATTTCTGGGGGCTTTTCTGTCCCACTGAAGTGTTGAATTTTCTTTTTCATTCGTTTTTTCTTCTGTTTTTTTTTTCCCTTCCTAGTGATTATGGTCCTTGCTCACCCTCTGCTTAGGGTTTCATAAGAGAAAGCCAAACTGGGTTGTATAAGGGCTAGCCATCTCTTGCAAGTGCAGGGGATGGCTCTAGGGAACTTGGGGATCCTGAAAGTGCCTTTTCCCCACTCTTTCTTCTGTTGCATTTTGAGTGTAGTGTTCTGGTTCAGGGTGGGTGGGTAGGGGTGCTGAGTGAGATGTCAGGATAAGTGAGACAGCATGCTTCCAGCAGGAGCTTGCAGAGCATGATGATGCTGGATTGGAGATTACTCAGATTGAGCCAGCATCTTTGGAGGGATTGAAACTTCTCTTGTGTATGTGTCTGCTTCAAAATGCTTGAAGATAGGGGCTCAGTTACATCTGTCTGGTCAGATGCTGGGTTGATCATCACTAGACACAGTGCAAGCACTTGGTGAATGAAGACTAGGGTTAGGAAAGTTCACCATCTAATCTAGAATTGCAGATGAACAACTGTTGTGAGTCTAGATAATAATTCTTTCTGTTTGTCTAGTGCATAGTAAGTGTCAACAAACTCACCCACACATCACATTGCCGAACCCTTTACAAGAGTCCTGTCTGGCAGAGAAGGCAAAGCACATTGTCTCCAGTGTTCTGAGGGGGAAAAATGGAATTTATGTACCATGCTTGAGGGCATGCATCCAATGAGGGGTGGAGTCATCCCACTCGCTCTTCCTTCTGCTTGTCCTCTTAACTCTGTCAGCTGAAGCTGTCCCCTCTTGCCCCTCTCTTTTACAAAAGGGTGTGTTCCATCAGGTTCTGCTTATGTGCCAGGCATCAGACCTCATTCTACAGCACCTGGAGCTGCAGAAAGAAGCCAGTGACCAGCCAATAGGTGTGAACTGAGCACACTGAACATGGGCACTGCCCACCCAGTGGGCTCCTAAGGGAAGAAGGCAGTAGGCTGCATGCCAACTTGCCAAGCAGCTCCACTTCATTGATACAGGAGGTGGGGGAGCAAGACTGGTGAAGCACTCAGCTGATGTCCCTCCTTCCTATGTAGGCAGCTTCTCCTGCAGCTCCTCAGCCACTTACACTGTTAACCGTGTTCCTATATTTGTGTTTCTGTGTATACCTGGGTGTTGTCTGCATCACATACAATCTGCATTGTTTAGTTCTGCATGCACATACAATCACTTGAGAAGCTGTATGGTTCTATGTACGTCAGTGTAAGTCTATATTGGTGTGTGTAAGATTGTATATTTAACAACATGTAGATGCAAATGTGTGTGCACCCCTATGAAAGAGTGTGTAAACTTATGACTTATGTATATGTGTTTATAAGCTATGTTTATTTATCTGAAATGGGTGTAAAAGGAAATACAGCTGAAAGCATATATATTCCCTGTAGGTGGCCCCTCTGGAACCACCAGAATTCTCTTGGTGTTTTCCCACATCAGGGGTAGGGGGGTGTATCTAGCCAGGCTATTTAACTGAATGTTTCTTTTCAATTACCTTTTCCCAGGGAGCAGGGTCTCCCGGTTCCAATCCACTCCTGTCTCCTGGATGGAAGAGGCAGAAAATGTGAATGTAGTCTCAGGAAGTGATCATTTAGTGCCTTGAGGTAGGAAGTGCTCAGCAGTCTGTACATATATACACACAGATAATGCACAAACACAGCCACACACATGTATGTTCACAGGCAGCATCACACATTTACCCTCATATCTGCATACAGACACACACACACACACACACACACACACAAATCTTGTGAGACAGCTAAAAACAAGAAAGATGCTGCCGGAATGTCTAAGATATCCTCTTTGTTTTTGGAGGATACACCCCTCACAGAGAGGTGGGGGGATGAGCAGTGACCTCACATCAGAAGCTCCCATCATGGCTATTTGAAAGGCTTGCTTTCTGGGGCTTAAGCATTGGTTAATTGATTTTGATTTGGGTTTCCAGGACCCAGGAGTGCCTTTGAGCCCTGCAGGAGGCAAGCAGTTCATTTGAGATGGGAGATCATACAGATAGATTGGAGCAGTGAGGACAAAAAAAGGATTTAAGATGTACCTGGCAGAAATGCTCAGGAAGGCTTCAGAGCAAGGGCAGAGAGCCCAGTTGTAAATATCTCCATAAATCCATGTACCTTATAGATCTTAGATCTTATTATACCTTAAGAAAGAATACCTGGCCCTAGTGTGCTGCAATGAGAGCAGTTGAACTACTGTGACTCACAGTGTGAGAGTATGTGTCCAGGTGAAGCGGAGGTTTGGCAATGACACCTTTCCAGAAACTTGAACGTTTGAGTTTGCCATTGACTTGGTCGTTTTAGCCTGTGCATTGCCAGACCTCCCCTTGTCTCCTTCTGTGCGTGTTCTGTCGTCAGCATCGTAATTGAGCCCCACCCTTCGCTGCCTCCAGCTGGCTGCCTACATCCCCTCCCAATTCCTCACCTCACACCAAGTAACCCTGGAAGTCAGGGCATCTGGCAGGGTGCTCCTGGGGCTCAGCCCATGGAGCCTTTCTCAGCCCAGCCAATCACAGAGTGTTGTGGTGATAGAGAATTTGAAGTTTGGGCAGAGGGAAGGATCTAGCTTAGTCTGGGATGGAGCAGCCCTGACTTGACTCTACCTCCCTTCACTTTCTTTTACCGTTAACTTTCCCCCTAAAACCCCTTCTCCACCACTACCATGGGAAGGAGACTTCTGTGCCTTTAAGGTGTCAGTTTGTTGTGGGGATATGTGACACGATTCCCACCAAGTTCTTGCCCATTCCATCTGCCACTGTGGAACACCTTTTCAGAGCTAACAATCAATCTCTGTTATCTTACTGGAGCTTGTCAAATGTATTCTTACAATCCATGCCGTCTTGTTAATAGCAAGGCTGCAAAGTCTTTGCATATTTAGAGCTGAGTTTTGCTGAGACTGTGGCCATTCCTAATGGGGTTTCCTTATTCTGTACATAAATGAGCTAACCCTTTAAGCTATTAAATAACAAATGCATTTACTAAGCTATCCACCTGCATGGTACCCTGCTGTGGTGATGAGCACTAAAGGAAATCGTGACTTGTCTTACTGAAAGTGCAGTGTGTTTGTGTTTGTTGTATCATGTCCTGTGATCAATATGAAATCTCTGTTATCAATGTTGGGTTTTCAGGGTAGGGAGGGGGGAGGGTGTTACAGTGTCTCCCTGATGTACTTCAATTATGAAATACCCCCAGTTGGTCAGGGTCACCTCTGTTGACTCAACATATTTTGCTGGGTTGCATCCCCGGCAGCAGCAGTCATCAGCAGAATTGAATTCTTCAGAGGGCAGCCAAAGCAGTGCTATTCTGGAAGCAGATGAAATACAGCAAAGCCACATACATGCAGGTCTTCAGGAGTGGTGCCAGGCCCAGGCAGTGCAAACCAAGAAAGGAAGAGGACCAAGAACCATGCGTCCTGGATGGTCTGACTGGCAAAAGGGCCCAAAGCAGCAGAGATCACTTAAGATGACCTAGTTCCCTCTTCATCCTCATAATGCATGAGGAAACCTCTTTTGCATGAAAGAAACCTTGACGAGTCCTCACTTTTAAAAAGGAAAATATGAAGAAACATAAAATTTCATGTTTCTGAAAATATGCTGAAATAAAGGTTTGTAAATAGCCAAAAGGAGGAAATAAATATATATATAATTGCAAATATGCTTATGAGTCATTGTGTTTCCTGTCTGTTATGTTGGGAGTGACCTCTATCTGGGTCCAGGATGCCTCTGCCTTCCATTCATCACCTTTGCCTTCCCACAGCTTTGCATATCCACCTCCTCATCCCCCAAGACATCTGAATCCATGGTTTTCAAGAGGAGGGAAAATAGTGATGGCACCGTTGAAATTTGTTTATGCTCTTGCACAACTCATTCTAATCATTTAAAACAAAAATTTAAAAAACATGGCAAGTCATTGTGGTGTCAAATACAATGTGAACACTTATCTCCATTGCAGGGGGGTTTCATAAAGAAACTTAAAAAAATAAAAACACCTCCTTTGCCAATGTAGATGTGCAGAATAAAAGGCAAGAAACCCTGCCCTGTCAGGGTGTGAAGAGGGGTGTGGTCAGGTTTTTAGAAGTCTGCAGAGTCACGTGAAAACATCCTGCTAATTCTGCAGAAGCTCATAGCTATGGCCCACATTTGTCAGTGTGGCCATTGCCAAGCACCTTTTGATGGAAACATTGGAGTTGCAATAGGAACACAAACCTAATCTCTCTTCTCTGTGATCCTTTGTGACCCAATGCAGAACAGGAGAGCTGTGCATTCACACCTGACAGGTGTGATCTGCCCAAGGGGCTGGGAGCTGGGAGCTGGTGTTGTCATAGGTACACATAGAAAGAGAAAATGCAGTTGGGGGTGGAAGGGAAGTTTTCACAGTATCTCTGGGGCCTGCCCTTACCCGCAGAGTTCTTCTCTGCTGGATAATTTCTTGCCAACAACTCAGGTTCTGAAAGTGACCTGTGGCCCCAGTAGAGCTGTGGTCCTTGAATGGTCCTACTGTCACTTGCTGCCCACCAACTATACCACTACCTTAAGGGATATGG